ATAAAGGCCACAAGGAAAATGAGAATCTTCAGGAACGTTCTCGGAGCCAAACTTAAGCTGAAGGGAAGTCCCTTGAACTTGTAATGATTCCCTGAAATCCATAACCTCAGAAACCGGCGATGACTGTCGTGAATAGGTATTTGATAGTAGGCATCTTTGAAATCGATAGATGTCATCCAGTCTCCAGGCTTTATATTTGGAAGGATTGTAGTAATAGACTCCATCTTGAACATTCTTGCTTTCAATTTTGTATTCAAGCCTTTTAGATCCAGAATTAGACGCCATTTTCCCTGGGGCTTTGGAGCCAGAAATATAGTAGAATAGTGGCCTCTGCAACGCTCTTTGTAAGTAACTTTCTCTATAACCTGGTTCTGCAGCAGTTGGGAAATAATGTTGTTCATTGCGACTTCTTTTCTTCCTTTTGCAACTCTTGAACGAATGAAGGTATTTTGAGAAGGGAATTCGTTGAATTCTATCTTGTATCCTTGCATAAGGATAGAAAGAACCCAAGTATCTTGAATACTTTTGGCCCAAACCGGATAAAAGAAGTGAAGTCTGCCTCCTATAACATCTGGCTGGACCGGCAAACGTTCAGAAGTTTTTACTTTCCGGTCTAGATCCTGTTCCCCTAACAGGTTTTGATGTAGTTGTCTGATAGCTTCTCCAGTTAGAATTTCTGGAATACTCTCTCCCGGGTCTATGTGCTCTGCTATTTCAAAAGGATCTGTCTCTGAATTTTTTTATCCTTCCAGTAGGCTGCACTAAATCTTCTTTTCCCTTGTGGGAGAAAGGCCTTTTTCCCATCGGCTGCTTTATGAATTGCATCTTCTAGGATCTTACCAAAAAGCAGGTCACCTTGAAATGGGAGAGCACATAGAGAAGCTTTAGAGGCGTAATCTGCTCCCCATGAGTGTAGCCATAATGCTCTCCTAGAGGCTACAGACAGCGCCATACTTTTTGCTACCATCTTGGTAACATCCAGGGAAGCTTCAGAGCAGAATTCTGTGGCTAGCTTTAAATCTTTAAGGCCTTCCATCAGGTGTTCTCTATGGACTATTCTAGTAATATCCTCTTCTAGATTTTCAATCCAGATTTTAAGATCTCTGGATAAAGTGGTAAGGGCAATAGCTGGATGTAATGCTGATCCCAGAGCCAGGTATGCCTTAATAAGGTTGGCGTCCAATCGCTTTTCCATTGGCTCTCTCAAATATGCCATGGAGTCTATGGGAAGAGTAGTTCTTTTTGCCATATGGATGACTGCAACGTCAATCTTAGGAATATAAATCCATGATTTGCAGTCCTCATGTGCATAAGGATATAATTAGTCTTATTCTTTAAAGTAGATACAGAGAAAAACAAGACGTTAACTGTCAGTGCTATAATGCACAAAGTACCCAAGGTTTATAAGTGTTCCGTTACAGACACTCAGGTTGCAATAGTGAAAAGAAAAGGAAAAACCAAAAGGTACAAAATAATGTGAATCACCAAAGTGATGATAACATAAATTTAAATAAATACAAACTGAATTGTGTTGATATATTCTGAATTCAGAATTACATCTATAAGAAATACATAAAAATATATAGTGTAATATTGTTAAAACCACCTAGAACTCACAAAATTAGGATGAGATCAGGCATATCTCCCTCTGTATTAAGGAACTGGAGAATTGTGAAGGACCTCCAGCGATGAATCTGAATATATAGTATCAAATCTTCTAATTCTCTCCAAATGGAAGGAAAAAAGAAATTGATAGTGCAGATTGTATAAAGAATTACATGTATTGCACTTACAATGTATCAGAATAAAAACAGCATGTCTCCACACTAGGTGGTATCCACGGGTAGCAGCTGATCCAATTAAGGTGCAGGATCTAAATCAGTGATAGCAGCAACCAAAAGAATAGCAAATAAAAGTTCATATGAACAGAAGAAAAATAAATAAAAACAGTTCCAACGCGTTTCGTCCTCTTCTGGACTTCCTCAGGGATGTGTGAGCTGATCCAATCTGATTGCTGATTGGATCAGCTGCTACCCGTGGATACCACCTAGTGTTAAGACATGCTGTTTTTATTCTGATACATTGTAATACAATATATTTTTAGATGTTCTATAATTTATACTCCAAGGAGTGAATTACAGTTGTAAGGAATGCTGAGCTTACAAGTTACATAGTAGTTACAGAATCCAAAACCGCTACACAAAAGTATATATTTCTAGCAAGTAAACCACCCAGGCTATTTACCTAAGAGCATTTTAATACGTTTCATTTAACTATTTTATCACTAACCTAGGTAAAAAATGTTGTTTCGGAGGGGGAAATTCGTAGACTATGCATGTCCCACTCCTGCAAACACGCATATTTGTATTCTGCATTCTCCTGTATATAAATACAATAATACCCAACATGTATAATTTTCCCCCAATCCTGCCCCTAATCCAACCATTAATTAAAACCCGAATTCAACCTTTTATCCAGTCCTTAATCCAACCCATAACTTAACCCCATCTGCCACCATTAATTAAACCAATAATCCAATTTATAATCCTACCTCCAATTCTATCCATAATCCAGACTTAATCCTACCTGTAATCTTCCATTAACCCAACCCATAACCATCCCTATAATCCCAGTCCTAATTCCAACCCCTAACTCCACCCCTCAAAAGGGTTTACTCTGATGATGTCAGAACTAACAATAGCAGACGGAATCCCTTACCAAGATGCTCAAAAAAATAAAGGGAACACAAAAACACATCATAGATCTGAATTAATTAAATATTCTTTTGAAATACAACAAAAGTCACACTCAAAATTAAAGTGAAAAAACACACTACAGGCTGATCCAATTTTGATGTAATGTCCTTAAAACAAGTCAAAATGAGGCTCAGTAGTGTGTGTGCCCTCCACGTGCCTGTATGACCTTCCTACAACGCCTGTGCATGCTCCTGATGAGGTGGTGGATGGTCTCCTGAGGGATCTCCTCCCAGACTTGGACTAAAGCATCTGCCAACTCCTAGACAGTCTGTGGTGCAACATGACGTTGGTGGATGGAGCAAGACATGATGTCCTAGATGTGCTCAATTGGATTCAGGTCTGGGGAACGGGCGGGCCAGTCCATAGCATCAATACCTTCGTCTTGCAGGAACCGCTGACACACTCCAGCCACATGAGGTCTAGCATTGTCTTGCATTATGAGAAACCCAGGGCCAACCGCACCAGCATATGGTCTCACAAGGGGTCTGAGGATCTCATCTTGGTACCTAATGGCAGTCAGGCTACCTCTGGCGAGCACAGGCAGGGCTGTGCGGCCCCCCAAAGAAATGCCACTCCACACCATTACTGACCCACTGCCAAACCGGTCATGCTGGAGGATGTTGCAGGCAGCAGAACGTTCTCCATGGCGTCTCCAGACTCTGTCACGTCTGTCACATGTGCTCAGTGTGAACCTGCTTTCATCTGTGAAGAGCACAGGGCGCCAGTGGCGAATTTGCAAATCTTTGTGTTCTCTGGCAAATGCCAAACGTCCTGTACGGTGTTGGGCTGTAAGCACAACCACCACCTGTGGACGTCGGGCCCTCATGGAGTCTGTTTCTGACCGTTTGAGCAGACACATGCACATTTGTGGCCTGCTGGAGGTCATTTTGCAGGGCTCTGGCAGTGCTCCTCCTGTTCCTCCTTGCACAAAGGCAGAGGTAGCGGTCCTGTTGCTGGGTTGTTGCCCTCCTACAGCCGCCTTCACGTCTCCTGATGTACTGGCCTGTCTCCTGGAAGCGCCTCCATGCTCTGGACACTACACTGACAGACACAGCAAACCTTCTTGTCACAGCTCGCATTGATGTGCCATATCGGATGAGCTGCACTACCTGAGCGGCTTGTAGATTCTGTGGGTTGTAGACTCTGTCTCATGCTACCACTAGAGTGAAAGCACCGCCAGCATTCAAAAGTGACCAAAACATCAGCCAGGAAGCATAGGAACTGAAAAGTGGTCTGTGGTTACCACCTGCAGAACCACTCCTTTATTGGGGGTGTCTTGCTAATTGCCTATAATTTCCACCTGTTTTCTATCCCATTTGCACAACAGCATGTGAAATTGATTGTCACTCAGTGTTGCTTCCTAAGTGGACAGTTTGATTTCACAGGAGTGTGATTGACTTGGAGTTACATTGTGTTGTTTAAGTGTTCTCTTTACTTTTTTGAGCAGTGTATAATAAAAAGAGCATAAAAACAATGTTCAGTAATATACTCATGTGTTTCACCATGTGATAACAATACCAATTTTGATAAAGCCTATCACATGATGAAACACGTTAGGGAATTACTGATCATGATTTTGTACTCTATTATTTTTTTTATTTTATTTTATATAAATTACTTTTTTTTTATCCTGGACTTTATCATACTCATATTGCTGCTTGCCTCCTGGTCTTAATATCCTTGGTGTGGATACAACTCACCTACCCTCCTAGGACTAAGCAATGCGGAATTTCGGTTTTTCATGAAAGCACGTTTTGATTTGTTTTTACACATTTTAAGGTGTGCACTATATATTTTTAATCTCTTTTATAGCTGTACTGAGAGGATCTGCACTACCTACATATCCCAGAGTGGGGATCATACTAATCCATGCAATACCCTAGGAGCCACTGCTGGGCTCTAATACATGTTAGTGCAATCCTATATACTTACTTACCTCTTGAATTTTACACTAAATGTACTACACTATTATTTTATCCTCTTCTCATTTTGTGCATACAAGATCCTTCATCATTATCTACAAGGAATAACCACCAGATAAAACTACACTATATTCAGCCCATGCTCTGAAGTGGGAGCTGGATTAAAGCTCCAAAAAAGTCAAAGTGCACATCGTGTTCCTTACCTTTTATCATCTAAAGAGTCGCTGTACTATTAGATATAATTTTTCTCCTTTCTATCGTTACATAAACTTCTAAGGACAACGCAGGTACTCCACCTAATCCCTGTTCTACCGTTTGTTACCTAACTGGAGAGAGACATCGGACTTGGTTGTTAAGCTGCCAAATTGGACTATATCAGTAACTAAAGGGCTGAATTCCTCTTTTTATTTCTGAATTCAGAGTTAATTTAAAATTCCAAATAATAAAACAAATAAAAGCATTTTTCATTTTTGTTATTTCATCCTACAATTTTGGGAATAACTCTGTAAGTGAGAGGGATAGGGAAGAATGGGGTTGAGTGAGGAAGGAGGAAATGATTGATAAGAGTTACAGTAAAAATTGTCACCATAAATGCTGGTACTCCTTAACATCTCATTATCCTAAGCTGCCACACGCTAAACACCCTTAAATCCATATAACAGGGTACAGTACCGGATCCTACATCAGTAGAGCAGTGTAGGTACTCAGTAGTAACATGATGCTTATGAAGGAAGTAACATTGCTGTTTTAGATGTTGAACCCATTCTCTCTATCGAGAGAGAGTCTTTTTGGTTTCACGTGTGTATTTATTTATTTATGTTGAATGAATTGCAGTGATATGACAATTAGCTATCTTATCCAAAAACAAATGTTATCCATATTAGCTATATTATCCTCGACATAGTCTCCTCTCGAGCTACCAGAACGTGCTGTTTAGTGAATAGGCCCCACATTTAAAACACATTTAAAATAGGTTCACCGAACAAGTAAAGAAGTGGTCAGACATTGAAGCACTTTGCCGAACGGATGGGGTTAATTTAAAAAGGTTCTTTGAATTGATTTCTCCCGTCGAAGGAGTTTAGTTGACTTTTTAGTTTGTTTTCTATTAAATTACTGCGCCCTCAGTCAAAATGTGTTTATCACAAAGTGAATCAGCAAGAACATTCGATTTGATTTAAGATCATACCTTCGTTAACCGGGACGCTCCCAGTTTATGACACGTCTAAAAGCCTTCTCATAAAACAAATTAAATATCTGTTTAAAAAAAAAAAACTTTCCACGCACAGCAGTAAAATAGGCCAGACACAGCTCACAAACAACCTGCGCGTTCAATACAAATTAGAAATGGCATTTACATCTTCCTCAGTAATAAACCTCAGTTTTATGATTACAAGTTCTCTTTTTTTTCTTAAGTACCAAGCGACTATGACTTTGTACAATGAGATCACTAACATTTGTTTCTCAAAGTTTGACTGACAGCCTGACCCTTCAAGCAGACCACAACGGAAGTGATCTGTGCATTGGTCCTAGTGTCAAGTCCGCTTCTGCCTTTTGGAATCTGAAGGCTGATTTCAAAATGTGGGACAGGTGCACACAACCTATTTTTGTTGGAGACTGTTCTGGTAAATTTAGGATTGTTTGCACCTATGCAACAGAGTGACATTACTCAATCCATTCCTATTCACCTCTAGCAAGCATGGGCTAGGGTAACTATATCATCCAGAATGTAACCACAGTATGGTTCATATTTTGTCTACGTATCCCCTACATTAAACAAATATGTATTTTTTAAAAACTGAGGTCGTAATAAAATGAAACATTGAAATCTATAACATTGTATTTAGCTCTATCCTAAAGGCCTGTAACCTTGCTTGCTGACAGTCATTGCTATAAGTTCTGTTTTTTTCTGTCACTGAACACATTATGCGGGAGAGGTGAGTTAAGAAAAATGGGGGAGATTTATCAAAGTATTCTGAAAGCTGTCTTTTTGAAGGGGTTCGATAATCTGTTGCAATGTGTTAAAATGTTTTAGAAGTAGTCTGAAAAGTGTCACCTTTCTCATTTAGATATTCTGACAGATCTTTGCTCCTCCACAATCATTTCCCAGGAAAGAGCAGAGAAGATTATACACAGACACTTTGATAAATCTCGCTCAAAGTGATGTGATTGGACTGAAAAAAAAAAAAAGAGTTAACACAAGTTGGAGGTGATTTTAAATGTTTTATTCAATTGTGTTATATCCAGAGCAGCAATACTTCCTTTGATCTCAGGAAACCAAACAAGGACTTTGCAGCCAAATGGAGACAACAAGCATGTGACAGCAAATGACAAATTGCAGTAAGTATCATCCAAAATAAATTAGAAAATTAACCGTTTCTTTTCATTCTGCTAGTGCTATGTGCTGGGAGTGATAAATGATATTTGTATTAATGCAGTTTTGGTAGTTGAATACATTATATTTAGTAATTCCGCAGGTATTTGGCACATTTTGGAAGTGTGGGTGCATTTTATTGGTGCCCTGTCCTGCTCGCTGAGAAAACTGATTAAGCCAATTAAAACAAATTATACTCTTACCTATTCAAACAAAAGCTTACGGGATATGAATGCTTTTCAAAGGCATGAACAGGCATAAAATATCTGCATCCACGGAGGCCCCACCTCGCAACTTGCAGGCCTTGAAGGATCTGCTGCTAATGTCTTGGTGACAGATACCACGGGACACGTTCAGAGGTCTTGTGGGGTCCAAGCCTGGACACGTAAGAGGTGTTTTAGCAGCACGAGGGGGACCTACGTGATGGTTTTATTGTTGCGGCTGATGATTTGTAAACAAAGGACAATTATTTTAGTGCATTTTACTGGTTTCCATGGCAATTGCTTCGCTGTTAAAGGGACAACTGTCACTTCAAAATTATTTTTAGCACAGTAATCCTTTCGTCAAGTTTTGAAAGGAATATATTTTTTAAACTAAGTATATGTTAAAAGAAAAAATGATAAAAACTCATCCTTACCTTTTCTATACGACAGGATCCGACAGGATCCTTCAGCCATATACATACACCTTGGCTGACAGTTAGTCTCTATGGTCTTCCCTGCTTCACTCTCTGCACAGAAACAAGGAAGACCATAGAGACTAACTGTCAGTGTTCAAACACTGTTTGACCCAAGGTGTATGTATATGGCTGAAGGATCCTGTCATTAGTTTTTCTCTTTTTTTTTTACATATACTTCATTTAAAAAAATAATAGTAATTCTTTCTTTTCGAAACTTGACGAAAAGATTATTGTAGTAAAACTAGTTTTGATATGACCGTTGTCCTTTAAATCTTTGCACTAGAAATTGCTCTATATAAATAATGCGTTGGTTTGCCACCAAAATAACTGTATTCTCCTCTGCATTTACACATATTACTGCACAAAAAAAATTATAATAAACACTCATTATATGGCATGATATAATTACACGCTATATAGAATCGGAGGAAGTCTCGGAGTCTCAATGCCTAAAAAATTAGCTAACGTAGAAAAGAAGTGTTAACACTTTGTGCGCCAGAAGGCAAGTAACAAATTGCTCAGCAACATGTTACTCTGTCAATAAGTGCATTAAAGGTCCCGCCTATATAGTTTATTTACTGGGTGGAGAAAACGTGTTTCTTCTTCTTCAAACTTCCTCCAACATTTAATGCGGTCCCGCCCCCACCTCCAAATTACGTAATCGTTTACTTCACTTCCCAAATGTCCTGGGTCTGTCTACAGGTTTCCTCATCAAAATTTGTAGGGTAAAAAGTACAGCGACCCCGATATGGAAGAGAATCAACCACACGTTGCGCTCTCCGTATAAATAAATGTTGCAGAAGCAAATGACAGCCAGCAGTCCACAGGTCTTTCGCGTTCGCGCAGAGCAGTGAAAGAAATACAAGTGACACTGTGGAAGATGAGATAGGGTTAGCTATTTCACTATATACTCTCCATCAGTACTTCCATTTACAACCTAACGAATTCTATTGCAATACAGGTTCTTTCTTCCTTCTGTTTAAAGGAGTAGTAATGCTTAAAGGGGCAGCGTGAGCACCTTAACCACTACAGCATGATAAATCCCCCTGGCGCCATCCCTGAAGTAAGAGTCAAACTGTTTTTGAACAGTCTTACATATACCTGGGTGCCCTGGTGGTTTTGGTTTGGCTACCTCTTTGACCATAAGTGAAGCGGTAGCTGTTTGGACCAATTTTATACACTGAAAGCATCGATAAAGTCTATCCAAATAGGGGAGAAATGAATATCGGTAATGCAGGAGTGGAGATGATGGACAGAAGACATCCAGGGTACTCAGATAAGGATTAAATTGTTCAAAATCAGTTGATTCTGACACGAGGTACTGTTAACGTAGTGGTTATGGTGCTTAGACTGTCCCTTTATTTATTTACCGTTCAATGTTTATTGATCAATCAATTATAAAGAAAATGACTTTCAAAGTGTCAACATAAGAAACATAGTAAGGATGTGTAGTACGAAAAACGTACAAAATAGAAAGTCATAGTAAATTTCCATTAATTATAAAAAGAAATGTCCACATACTTAACAGCAAAGATAAATTCCATCAATAAATATAAAACAATGCGTCAGATGGAAATCAAAATAAGTGTAAAATAAGTGTAACGTAGAATCTAGAACAATGTTTCCAATAATTAACTGTGATAAGCAAAAACATGTAACCAATCACAGCGCACTAAATGAAGGGAAGAGGATATAAAACAAGGCTTGACGAAGGGGAGCGAGAAAGGGTAACGTAGTAAATTAACAAGGGGGTAAGGACAGGGGGAATAGTTAAGTGAAAAAATTAAAAGAAGACAGGCGGCAATTAAAGGGACACTCTACTGACCAAATTTTTTAAGAAATCACTTTTTAGTAGACATAGCCCAATTAAAACAAGCAAGCATTTAATTCTGCATTTTCCCAATCCAGGTGTATCTAAAAACAGCTTTCAAAAACAGCACATCTTTTGTCTGCTGCCTTTGCAAGCCCTCCTGTTCTAACCCCGCCCAGATTTGCTGTGTTTGTCCAATCACAGATAGAGTACTGCAACAAACTAAAGAACTTTATGGGTCTGGAGTGCCCTTTTAAGGGCCAGTTAGAAGAGTAATTTGTTCGTTAACCAAAAGGAACTTTGAAATGAGGCAGTACATTAATTGCAGGATCTCTTTTGTCATCTACAGTTGCAAGAAAAAGTATGTGAACCCTTTGGAATGATATGGATTTCTGCACAAATTGGTCATAAAATGTGATCTGATCATCATCTAAGTCACAACAATAGACAATCACAGTCTGCTTAAACTAATAACACACAAAGAATGAAATGTTGCCATGTTTTTATTGAACACACCATGTTCAAAGGGTTCACATACGTTTTCTTGCAACTGTATTTATTAACATGCCAGTCTTGTTCCAGCCAATATGTTGGTCAAACTATGAGACCACTAACAAACAGAATATAGGAACATATTAAAGTCATCAAAAGAATTATGTTAATACCCAGATAGCATATCATTTTTTTACGTGTAATAATTCAGATGCCTCGCAGCTCTCTGTACAAGGTATTGACAAATTGTCAAACCATACAGGGATGGGAATTGTAGGACCAAATTGGACTATGTGAGGGTAAATGGATTTCAAGTTACATACTCATTGACCCTCTGGCCACAATAGCGAGTTTGATGTACCTAATCATTTTTTTCTTTTTTTAATTACATTTTAAAAATTCCATAAAAAGTTATGTTGCTTGTAGGGTCGTTTTATATATATACACATACACACACAATAATGAATACTTATTGTACTTTTAATCAATTAAGACTAAACCAATAAATTGCATATCCACTTGTTGCAGTTTACAATAAATGAGTCTATTTCATTTGACAATTGTTATATTTGTAATCTATAGATGTTGTCTTTTTTCCCGTTACAGTGGTTTCCAATATGTGATTACAACAAGCTTTTTCATAGGATCTTAATTTGTGTTTGTAGTTATATGCAACAATGTGTGTTTATTTCTTAATTATTACATTCAATTTACTGTTCAGTCAATGTTACATCTTATCTTTTTTCAATTGAGTACTTTTCCAGGTGTGCCTTTTCATTGCGCTGATTATTTTTACTCACTATTATGTCAGTGTATAACAAATAACTACATTTGAAGAAATCTTTCCCCCTTTAACTTGCTGCAAATAATACTCATGGGGCCCAATCCAAAAAAAGCATTCGCAGGGTTACTTACTACAGTGAGAATATGAAGTAAATGAAAAGTCAAATTTAAGGTCAAAATAGCTAAACGAAAAAAATGCTCTAAGTAAGCTCTGCCTTTAGTTTAGCTAATCTTGCCTGAAATTTGAAAGTATCTTAGAATTCACACTTTAGTAATTAACCCTGTAAGAAACAAATGGAGGATTTATTTCCTAAATGTGTGTTTCGGTGACTAGATTCCTCTAATCCTTTCTTTTAATTAAAATGGAAAATTTATTCATAGTTACTGTCATTTTCTTCTCCCTGTGAAGTTAAAATTGGATATTTCACATGTAACGGGAAATTCATCAAATTATCAAAGTAATTTATTCAAACCGTAGAAATAGCATAACATGGAAAGATAAAAGCCCACCTGAAATATGTTTGCACAAAACGCTGTACAAAACGCTGCGATTCTCCCTGCGTCTTCGTAGCCATTCTTTAACGAAAAAAAAGAATAACAACACAAGAAACATCAATAACTCATTAACGATGCAGGTTTCACTAATAATTATTGTTACAATGACAGTGGAAAAAATATATATAAAAAACGATATGTTGATATATTTAAAGTCTGCATTGTGATTTATTTATTTTTTTAATATTAAAGGACCACTCTAGGCACCCAGACCACTTCAGCTTAATGAAGTGGTCTGGGTGCCAGGTCCAGCTAGGGTTAACCCTTTTTTTAATAAATGGGTTAATCCTTCCTCCAAAGCCTCTAGCGGCTGTCTCATTGACAGCCTCTAGAGGCGCTTGCGTGCTTCTCACTGTGAAAATCACAGTGAGAGCACCCCAGCGTCCATAGGAAAGCATTGTAAATGCTTTCCTATGCGACCGGCTGAATGCGTGCGCAGCTCTTGCCGTGCGTGCGCATTCAGCCGAATGGGCGGAGAGGGGGAGGATCGGAAGAGGAGAGCTCCCCGCCCAGCGCTGGAAAAAGGTAAGTTTTTACCCCTTTGCCCTTTCCAGAGCCGGGCGGGAGGGGGACCCTGAGGGTGGGGGCACCCTCAGGGCACTATAGTGCCAGGAAAACGAGTATGTTTTCCTGGCACTATAGTGGTCCTTTAAGACTGAAAACATATTTCTGATTAATACGGTCTGTAACGGTTACTTAGTTGCAATGGGTGCATTCCATATCCTCTCCCCAGTTGACAGAATTCTGGAAGATAGTCGGGCTATCAGGAAATGTCAGGTTATGATTGATTGATGACATCAGAGAATCCCGAAGTATCCTTGTGTGAGGATAAACAGTCTAGGTTATTCACTAAGGTCAGAATGCAAAGTGAATTTTAAAATTAAGCCCAGCATAAATTAAATGAAAGCATAGGTGACTTGGGATTTATTTTTTTCATGTTGGCTCTTTTTACCTTAAATTTGAAATTCACTTTAAATGCTAACTGTAACTTTCTTAATTAAATCATTTTATATTAAATAACAGAAATTCAGAAATCTTCAAATTTATCATATGTGCAGAGATATTATGAAATGTGTTATAAATGTCTTATTAGTTACTGTTCCAGTCTTCCAATGGCTGGAAATGGCTTTATTTTTTTTTATTTTTTTTTTATTCTTCAATTTTGTTTTAGTCACAGCTAAGATATTTTAATACTATAATTCGATTGACTATGATTCCACAATTAATGAATAAATACTATTGCAAGCTCTGTTTGCCCTGGTAAAAAAAAAGTCACTATTTTAAAACTTATACGGTTCTGTTGAAGGCAGTTTATCAAACTGTAAAGATAACTAATGATTCTTGACTTTTAAAGGGACACTATAGTCACCAGAACAACTACAGCTTATTGTATTTGTTCTGGTGAGTAGCATCATTCCTGACAGGCTTTTTGCTGTAAAAACTGTCTTTTCAGAGAGAAGGCAGTGATGACATTACAGCCTAGTGATACCTCCACTGACCACTCTTCAGATGGCTGCTAGAGGTGCTTATTGGGGCAGTGCTGCACAGTGTGACTGCCATTCAGTGTCTCCACCCTCTGCATGCAGACACTGAACTTTACTCATAGAGATGCATTGTTTCAATTCATCTCTATGAGGAGATTCTGATTGGCCAGGGCTGTGTTTGGCTTGTGTTGGCTCTGCCCCTGATCTGCCTCGTTCAGTCTCAGCCAATCCTATGGGGAAGCATTGTGACTGGCTCAGATAACCATTTCTGATGATGTCAGCAGACACAGGCAGTTCACAGGCAAACAGGGGCAGAGCCAGGAGCTGCAGACTTGAATACAAGTAAGATTTTACTATATTTAGAGAAGCAATAGGGGACCAGGGGGGCTAGATAGTGGTTTTAACCCTATAGTGCTCTTTAAAGTCAATGCCGAGAAGCTCCTTGTCACCATCGCAGGTTTTGGGATATTGTGGTACCCATGACTGGTAAATTTTGTTAGTTTGCAAGATTGTTCGTCTCCCTGAATTTGCCCCATTCTTTTACCTAAATTCATTACCCATTCCTCTTTTCTCTGCATGCTCCATTTTCCTATCATTCTTTCATTTCTTATAAAAGACACTTTTTCCTTTCCTTAAATCATTAAATCCAGAGATTTGTGAAAATCGGCATTGACTCTAGAATAAACTATCTGAAAAACTGTACAAAATTAAAATAAAAATGTTTCATAAACAAAAAAAAACACAGAAATAAAGAGTTGTTCATGTTTTGATAGGAAGTAAAAATGAACAGCTTCGATTTAAAATAAAATAGATTTTATATGTTCGGATAACCTTTTAAAATAATTGTATATTTTAAAAAATGGTTTAATATTTTTTATACATATATTTGTTTTTTAATATGTGGGAAATCTTTTTTGTATGCTAATATTTTGAAAAAATCTAATCATTTTAAGAGTTTATCTAAAAATATTACATCTAGGCCTATATCGGTATAAATATGTCCACTTTTTCGCAAATGAATATATCAATGTGTCAAACGACTGACTTGAAAGCTCTTTAATATACCTTGTTCATTTGATAACTTTAAGTTTGATGTAAGGCGTTGTGTCTTCAGTTTTAAAACCTCTAGCAAACTGTATTTTTGCTCTGTTGTAGAAGTCTTTAATGATCATAATTAGAGATGTCGCGAACTGTCCGCCGAACTGTTCGCGAACTGTCCGCCGGCGAGCAATAGCGTGTTCGCGTTGGGCGAACATATCCGATTTCCGGTCCGCTCTCTATACGTCATCATTGAGTAAACTTTGACCCGGAACCTCACAGCCAGCAGACACATTCCACCCAATCAGCAGCAGACCCTCCCTCCCAGGAAGTGTCTGCTGACTGTGAGGTTCCGGGTCAAAGTTTACGCAATGATGACGTATAGGGGGCGGACCGGAAATCGGATATGTTCGCCCAACGCGAACACGCTATTGTTCGCTGGCGGACAGTTCGCGAACAGTTCGGCGGACAGTTCGCGACATCTCTAATCATAATATAAACAAAAGCAAACAGCTTTTCAGACACATCAGGTACCAAGCCGATATATATTTTCTAACTCTGCAAAATGTATAAGCGGTTTCAATAAAAACATGATGGTGTGCACAGAATATACCACACGTTACACATTGCGCAGCCATCACACACACGTCAATCATGTCTGATTAATTGGTGACAGTTTCCCTGTTAACAGACAGTACTGATTGTTTGAAATTTAGATTTAAGGACTAGATTTCACAAAATTTTACTCAAAACTTGGTAGAAACATGAAACAGCCTTAATGGTAAATACAGCAGGAAACTCAACAGACTCAGAGTGGGCATAAGGTGCATGTACATCCTGCCCCATCAACTAAATACACCAAATACCTACAATAGTCCCACTTACCTGAAACGAATGCTCAGCCAGATGGGCTCCACGGATGAGGCTCAGAGCGCTGCACATGATGTTCAGAGTTAGCGAGAGGAGTCCAATGCTGGTTACTGGCGTCAGTCGGCTATAAAGACCTTCGTACAATTAAAAGGAATTCTGATGAAAGTGACTTTCTGGTCAATGTGCATCGCCTGGGTGTGCTGGGCACGTTCACATTGTAACATCACACAGCTGCAATGTAACTAATGGGATGGTTACTAGAGGCCTGCAAGTCTGATGTATGAAACAAGTGTTTTAGTATTTATAGAAAGAGAAGATGAATCCTAATATCCTATTATAATGGAAAGACACCTTCAGAAAGAGGTCTCTTCTCCGTGTGATAACTCTGCAATAATGATCTTATGTGTCAGCTGAAATACATGGCTTTCAATGGCAAATCTTTTGTAACAAAGACTTTCACCGCACTCATCTGGTATCCAAAAAAAGTGAGAAAACTCAGCGAAAAGTGATCATTTATTAGGATACATATGGTAACAGCCACTAAAGTTCATGCATAATTAGAAAAAGCCAAAGAAAAACGTTACCTGCGCACTATCCCATATCCGTCTGCACAATGAAATAACTGGAGGTTTTTAGTGTCACTCCAATGGCCACTAAAGTGTAAGCTCACCTGCCATGTCATGGTGAGTCCTACACTAACAATTCACCTATAGACTGTAGTCATTGCTGCCACCCAGGAGAAGTGGGAGTTTCAGGGCAGGGCTTAATTTTCTGAATGTTTATAATTACAATAAAGTTTTGAACTCCTAGAAAAAGTCTGACAAAGCAGGAAAAAAGGAAAAAGAAAACAAAAAACTAGCTGAACACATTGCACGTCTATTAACAACACTTCATCAATCTATTACAAGCTGTGCCGGATGGTCACATGTCGCCCCTTCCACCGTCTCATCCAGCTCCCCACTTTACTGGCTTACCTGTGAATTGTGTAGGATTCAGCAAGATTCCAAATGTTGGGCAAAAATATCCAAACTAGAAAAACTATCCAGATCATTTATTTTCCAATCCAACCATTTTCCTATTTTTTTTTTACCTAAAAGTTCTTAAAAATTCTAATTCCCTGGTGAATTCTTATAAATTGTGGGCTTAGACACTAAACTCTAAAGTGTACGTTTTATATCGACTATGTGAGAACCGTCCAATCTAGATCTTGATAAGTGACATTTCAGGCACCTATGACAATGTGTAATAATCAGCGCACAGTATATATCCTACCTGACAGGTCAGAGCAGGCCGGGTATCCATTGGCGATGTTATTAACCTCTTCTATATCGTCTAGTTTCACGCAGACTGGAGGGGGACATGATTCGAGGGGAGCAGGAGGACTGGCAGCAAAGTTAAAGTTGTGTTTCACTCTCTGGATTACACTGTCTGGTACAGAGACACAAAAATGTTGGGCTAATGAAACATACATACAAATGAGATCAGTAATTCTGTCATCTACACTGCTACACTGATCTAGATTTATACTCTGCTCACAACTGTATCACTGATTCATTGATCATCTAATCTATTGGTCAATTTATCCATATCAATCAATTAATCAATCTTCCTATATTTCTGTCTATCTATCACCTCGCCAATTAATATAGAAGTCCTGCTTCCCTTCTTCACTAGCCTGCCAGTGCAGTTACTCCATTAGTGCCATTACTCTGCCAGTGCTGTTACTCCATTAGCGCCATTACTCTGCCAGTGCCGTTACTCCATTAGTACCATTACTCTGCCAGTGATGTCACTCTGCCAGTGATGTTACTCTGACAGTACTGTACTGTTACTCTGATGGTGATGTTACTTTGATGGTGATGTTACTCTGCCAGTGATGGTACTCTGCGTGTACTGTTACTCTGCCAGTGATGTTACTCTGCCAGTGATGTTACTCTGACAGTACTGTACTGTTACTCTGACAGTGCTGTTACTCTGACGGTGATGTTACTCTGACGGTGTTGTTACTCTGACTGTACTGTTACTCTGCCAGTGATGGTACTCTGCCAGTGATGTTACTCTGACAGTACTGTACTGTTACTCTGCCAGTGATGTTACTCTGACAGTGATGTTACTCTGACAGTACTGTACTGTTACTCTGACAGTGCTGTTACTCTGGCAGTGATGGTACTCTGCCAGTGATGTTACTCTGCCAGTGATGGTACTCTGCCAGTGATGGTACTCTGGCAGTGATGGTACTCTGGCAGTGATGGTACTCTGCGTGTACTGTTACTCTGGCAGTGATGGTACTCTGGCATTGATGGTACTCTGCGTGTACTGTTACTCTGCCAGTGATGTTACTCTGACAGTGATGTTACTCTGACAGTACTGTACTGTTACTCTGACAGTGCTGTTACTCTGACGGTGATGTTACTCTGACTGTACTGTTACTCTGCCAGTGATAGTACTCTGGCAGTGATGGTACTCTGGCAGTGATGGTACTCTGGCAGTGATGGTACTCTGCGTGTACTGTTACTCTGGCAGTGATGGTACTCTGGCAGTGATGGTACTCTGACTGTACTGTTACTCTGGCAGTGATGGTACTCTGGCAGTGATGGTACTCTGCGTGTACGGTTACTCTGGCAGTGATGGTACTCTGGCAGTGATGGTACTCTGCGTGTACGGTTACTCTGACAGTGATGTTACTCTGACAGTGATGGTACTCTGGCAGTGATGGTACTCTGGCAGTGATGGTACTCTGCGTGTATGGTTACTCTGGCAGTGATGGTACTCTGGCAGTGATGGTACTCTGCGTGTACGGTTACTCTGACAGTGATAGTACTCTGGCAGTGATGGTACTCTGGCAGTGTTGGTACTCTGGCAGTGATGGTACTCTGCGTGTACTTTTACTCTGGCAGTGATGGTACTCTGGCAGTGATGGTACTCTGCCAGTGATGGTACTCTGCGTGTACTGTTACTCTGCCAGTGATGTTACTCTGACAGTACTGTACTGTTACTCTGACAGTGCTGTTACTCTGACGGTGATGTTACTCTGACTGTACTTTTACTCTACCAGTGTTGGTACTCTGGCAGTGATGGTACTCTGGCAGTGATGGTACTCTGCGTGTACTGTTACTCTGGCAGTGATGGTACTCTGGCAGTGATGGTACTCTGGCAGTGATGGTACTCTGCGTATACTGTTACTCTGCCAGTGATGTTACTCTGACAGTGATGTTACTCTGACAGTACTGTATTGTTACTCTGACAGTGCTGTTACTCTGACAGTGATGTTACTCTGACTGTACTGTTACTCTGCCAGTGATAGTACTCTGGCAGTGATGGTACTCTGGCAGTGATGGTACTCTGCGTGTACGGTTACTCTGACAGTGATGTTACTCTGACAGTGATGGTACTCTGCGTGTACGGTTACTCTGGCAGTGATGGTACTCTGGCAGTGATGGTACTCTGGCAGTGATGGTACTCTGCGTGTACGGTTACTCTGACAGTGATGTTACTCTGACAGTGATGGTACTCTGGCAGTGATGGTACTCTGGCAGTGATGGTACTCTGCGTGTACGGTTACTCTGGCAGTGATGGTACTCTGGCAGTGATGGTACTCTGCGTGTACAGTTACTCTGACAGTGATGTTACTCTGATAGTGATGGTACTCTGGCAGTGTTGGTACTCTGGCAGTGATGGTACTCTGGCAGTGATGGTACTCTGCGTGTACTTTTACTCTGCCAGTGTTGGTACTCTGGCAGTGATGGTACTCTGGCAGTGATGGTACTCTGCCAGTGATGTTACTCTGACAGTGTTGGTACTCTGGCAGTGATGGTACTCTGGCAGTGATGGTACTCTGGCAGTGATGGTACTCTGCGTGTACTTTTACTCTGCCAGTGTTGGTACTCTGGCAGTGTTGGTACTCTGGCAGTGATGGTACTCTGCGTGTACTGTTACTCTGCCAGTGATGGTACTCTGGCAGTGATGGTACTCTGGCAGTGATGGTACTCTGCGTGTACTTTTACTCTGCCAGTGTTGGTACTCTGGCAGTGATGGTACTCTGACAGTGATGTTACTCTGGCAGTGTTGGTACTCTGGCAGTGATGGTACTCTGGCAGTGTTGGTACTCTGGCAGTGATGGTACTCTGGCAGTGATGGTACTCTGCGTGTACGGTTACTCTGGCAGTGTTGGTACTCTGGCAGTGATGGTACTCTGGCAGTGATGGTACTCTGACAGTGATGTTACTCTGGCAGTGATGGTACTCTGGCAGTGATGGTACTCTGCGTGTACGGTTACTCTGGCAGTGATGGTACTCTGGCAGTGATGGTACTCTGGCAGTGATGGTACTCTGGCAGTGATGGTACTCTGCCAGTGATGTTACTCTGCCAGTGATGGTACTCTGGCAGTGATGGTACTCTGGCAGTGATGGTACTCTGCGTGTACTGTTACTCTGACAGTGATGGTACTCTGGCAGTGATGGTACTCTGCGTGTACTGTTACTCTGGCAGTGATGGTACTCTGGCAGTGATGGTACTCTGGCAGTGATGGTACTCTGGCAGTGATGGTACTCTGCGTGTACGGTTACTCTGACAGTGATGTTACTCTGACAGTGATGGTACTCTGGCAGTGATGGTACTCTGGCAGTGATGGTACTCTGCGTGTACGGTTACTCTGGCAGTGATGGTACTCTGGCAGTGATGGTACTCTGCGTGTACAGTTACTCTGACAGTGATGTTACTCTGATAGTGATGGTACTCTGGCAGTGTTGGTACTCTGGCAGTGATGGTACTCTGGCAGTGATGGTACTCTGCGTGTACTTTTACTCTGCCAGTGTTGGTACTCTGGCAGTGATGGTACTCTGGCAGTGATGGTACTCTGCGTGTACTTTTACTCTGCCAGTGTTGGTACTCTGGCAGTGTTGGTACTGTGGCAGTGATGGTACTCTGCGTGTACTGTTACTCTGCCAGTGATGGTACTCTGGCAGTGATGGTACTCTGGCAGTGATGGTACTCTGCGTGTACTTTTACTCTGCCAGTGTTGGTACTCTGGCAGTGATGGTACTCTGACAGTGATGTTACTCTGACAGTGTTGGTACTCTGGCAGTGATGGTACTCTGGCAGTGTTGGTACTCTGGCAGTGATGGTACTCTGGCAGTGATGGTACTCTGCGTGTGCGGTTACTCTGGCAGTGTTGGTACTCTGGCAGTGATGGTACTCTGGCAGTGATGGTACTCTGACAGTGATGTTACTCTGGCAGTGATGGTACTCTGGCAGTGATGGTACTCTGCGTGTACGGTTACTCTGGCAGTGATGGTACTCTGGCAGTGATGGTACTCTGGCAGCGATGGTACTCTGGCAGTGATGGTACTCTGCCAGTGATGTTACTCTGCCAGTGATGGTACTCTGGCAGTGATGGTACTCTGGCAGTGATGGTACTCTGCGTGTGCTGTTACTCTGGCAGTGATGGTACTCTGGCAGTGATGGTACTCTGGCAGTGATGGTACTCTGGCAGTGATGGTACTCTGCGTGTACGGTTACTCTGACAGTGATGTAATAGTCTCTTTGGCAAGACTTCACAGGAATAAGTAGGTGTAATTTTAAACCGTGCATTATCAGCACCACCTAGTGGACATCATGGCTAATAAGCTCCAAAAACATCTATTTATTTAAAATTTTCTATACTTTTATTAAAATTATTTATAAAGTGTCAAAATATTCCAAAGCAAAGTACAATAAGTGGACTAACAACTAAGGGAAGTGGTGCATAATGACTCAAAAGGTAAACAACAAAAAGGAGGGATCTGCACTCTCATCACCTGTAGACCTCGGTGCACTGTACCTAGTGCTGGCAAGCCCCTAATCCATATAGTAACAGCAAAGTAGTCCAGCACTCATTGTTTTCATACATTGGAACAACATGACAGACACAGCAACATTTCGATCCCTTCAAGCTTGATGAAAAGTTGCCGTATCTGTCACATTGTTCCAATAAATCTGCTGATGTATGAAGACCTTGAGTGTCTGGACTACTTTGCTAACAAAAGGTAAACAGTCATTTTACCCTGTAGCAATACACACATTCACATTAATTATACAATTATCAAAGAACACATGAAACATTGCAATCACATGGAACTGAACTGGGTCAATAGAGGTAACTGGGGAGAGGACAAGCTGAGGTCAGGGTGATGGAAACACTGATGGAAGATAAACAATAAAGGGGGAGGGATAATGGGGGCTCAGATGATTAGAATTAAGGGAGATGGGCAAGAAGAGGCCAGGTGAGGTCAAAAATCAATTTTAATCAAAGGGGTTTTAAAGAAAGTATTTGTAAAAAGGTTGTTTTTTCAGCAGTTTCTGAAAAGTACTGAGGAAGTTGGCTGATTGGATAGAAGTTGAAATTTGTTCTAGTAGGGGGCTAGGAGTAAGAATGTGTGAATGTAAGAAGGAGTCCATGGAGACGTTTGTGGGATATGTATTTTGTGTCAGGATTACAGAATGATCCAGCACTTAGAATTGTGTAACACAGAGGACTGATACGTAACGTATAACGGACCAAAGAATAGTCAGGAATAGCCGAGGTCAAGGGATACAGAAAGAGACACAACGATAAGGAAAAGCCAGGAGTCAGGGATGCCAGAAAACAGGGAAGTCAAAAACAATGTCAAATAACCAAAATCAATAACGCGCTCTCGGACAACCACAAGGGAAACCACGACAGGGCACTGAGCAGGATGAGAACTGGGCCTAAATACCCCTCCTCTAGTTCTGATAGGCTGTAACCGGCCTTTGACCCCAAAGGCAGTTACCAGGTTCACATTTGCATAATTGCTGCTCAGCATTAACCCTACTGTGGATTTGATTGCTGCTCGGCACAACTTTTCATGTGTGGACAGTAAATGCCATTAACCACATTTTTATAAGCGAATGAATACGTGACATTTTGGAGGTCAGGGGGCAGAGAGGAGAGGTACGGGTAAAGCTGAATTTGTTTGAGCTGCATGGTTTTAAAGGGCAGTGGCGTACTAAGGAGGGGGCGGTCTGCCCTGCGTGCCACCAGGGTGGGGGGTGCCATGACCCTCATGCTGCAGCCGCCCGAGCGCTCTGCCTGGGCGCAGCATGAGGAGAGGGGCTGACAGGAGGGAAGCACTCAACGCTCCCTCCTGTCATTCCCTCACTGTAGCGTGGCCGAGCCCTGTATGGTCCGTGGGTACAGGGAGCATCTGTCTCCTGTACCCGGCCGGACTAACAGGAAGTGCACACTTTTAGAAACAAAAGCTCCCTGTACCCGCGGACCATAGAGGGCTCGGCCATGCTACAACAGTGGTAGGGGGGGGATAAAGAAACTGGAAGGGGGATATAAAGAAATCGGGAATAAAGAAAGAAATTGGGAGCTGAGATAAAGAAAAGAAATTGAGAGGGGGATAAAGAAAGATTGGGGGATAAAGAAAGAAACGGGAGGGGGGGTGGAGGAAAGAAAGATTAGAAATGAAACATACATACAAAAAAGAGATCAGTAAATTAAGTAACGCCGAAAGGAAATTGGGAGGGGGGATAAAGAAAGATTGGGGGATAAAGAAAGACATTGGGAGGGGGATAAAGAAAGATTGGGGGGATAAAGAAAGAAATTGGGAGGGGGGAAATAAATTGGGAAGAGGGGAAAGAAAGAAATTGGGAGGGGGGAAAGAAAGAAATTGGGAGGGGGAGAAGGAAATTGGAGGGGGGGGAGAGAAGGAAATTGGAGGGGGGGAGAGAAGGAAATTGAAGGGGGGGAAAGATTGACATTCATCACACACAATGCACCACTTGCACACAGAAAAACACACAATGCATTACACACACAATGCATTACACACACAGACACACATACACAAGCAATGCAACCGTTACACACAATGCATCCCTTACACACACAGAAACACACAATGCATTCATTACACACACTCAATGCACCTCTTACACACATTCAATGCATCCCATACATACACAGAAACACACCTTGCAGCCCTTACACATACAAACACAATTTCACACAATGCATTCCTTACACACATATCAGGACATCCCCTACACACTCCACCCCCTGTGAACAAACTCATTGGTGGAACATGAAGATGGACCCTGGGACCCAGACCTTGAGCTGTGTAAAGGACCCCCAAAAAATGGAGCTGCTTCCTGTTCTCCCAGAACATTGATTTTTGTGACCACAGTTACAAACCGCCTCCAGAGAGCCTGTTCTACACCAGACTAGTGGAGCCAGACTGCAGCTAGAGCCCATCATCATCCTCATCTGGTTGTAAGTAGGCAATCTAGTATATTATTCGTGGCACTAAGCTCTAATTTACCTCACATTAAAGAAACACTATAGTCCCCAGAACCACTTCAGCTTAATGTAGTGGTTCTGGTGTCTATAGCCTGTCCCTGCAGGCCTTTTAATGTAAACACGGCGGCACTGCAGCACTGGCGTTAGTTAACATGGCAGATCATATGGGTGGGGCATTGTGATGTCACATTGGGGGGGCGGCCAACTTTACTTTTGCCTAGGGCAGCAAAAATCCTTGCACCGGCCCTGGCTGGAAGGGGCTGTGTGAGCTGTTGCCGCACAGTGTCCCATGGTAGTTAGGGTGCCGTGCGGCCAGTACAGCTCACACAAGCAAACAGCTGATAAACTGGCCGCACGGAGGAAAAGTGTATGTGTGACTGTCTGCCTGTGACTGTTTGATGTTGCATGTAACCGTGTGTGACTGTCTGACTGTCTGTGACTGTGTGCATGTGACTGTCTGCCTGTAACTGAGTGTGTGACTGTCTGTCTGTAACTGAGTGTGTGACTGTCTGCCTGTAACTGAGTGTGTGACTGTCTGTCTGTAACTGAGTGTGTGACTGTCTGTCTGTAACTGAGTGTGTGACTGTCTGCCTGTAAATGTGTGTGTGGGGCTGCAGGGATTTTGTAGAAGGGGGCGGGGTTTTGTATTGGGACAGGAGTCTTTATAAGGGGGGATAAGCAGGGGATTTGTGGAAGGGGGTTGCGGGGGTTTTGTAGACGGGGCAGTACAGGATTTGTAGAAGGGGCAGGACAGAGGTTTTGTAGGAGGGGCGGGGCAGGACAAGGGTTTTGTAGGAGAGTCTGACAGCGGTTTTGCAAAGTTTACAAATTGTAAAAAAAAAAGAAAGAAAACCTTTAACATTTTTTACCGTTTTATTTTTTTGGGGGGGGGGAGGGGGGGCAAGGGGGTGCCAAGCACAGGTTCCCCCCTGGTGGGCTCTAGGTACGCCCCTGTTAAAGGGATCTGCTTAACAGAATAAATCATTTGAAGTTTGAGAACTGGTAGATCAGTAGTTCGTAGAGTTTTTGTATAAAGATGGGACAGTAGCAGTGAGGTACGTGGACAAAGGACGGCAGCATTGTTTGTTCTACATTTGTCCGTACACACATCATACTTTATGACTTCAATCAGAATGAATGTGTTCACTTTGAAGATCTCTTGTTTTTATTTTTTCAATCAGGAGCTAATTTTTACATATTTATTTTATACATTAGGGAGCGTTTTGGACATTTATCGTTCCGCTCTAGTGCTTTCTTGTAACTAATCAATTGTAACTAATCCCAGGCTGTTCCGGTCACTGTAACCTGTATAACAGTAACATGATTTATTAACCCATGACGTGCTCCACTCAGACTGGTCCTTCCTTAGTCCCGATTTTTACTTTGTAAAAAGTTTACTTTTAAAACTTGTCTTTTACCTTGACAGTGAATAATCTATTAAATAATGCATCACTTCAACAGTAATATTCCATCATTCTGCAAATATATTTACAGTTACAAAAAATATTTAAAAATAGCTTTTTTGTTGGTAATTGCCTTAAAACCCCCTCAGACCGACAGACGCCATTTTTAAGTATTGATTTTAGTTGTGTAACTTACCAAACTCTCGGAAGGCATATGGCCTGGATGCCAGGGCGATCGCTATATTCTTATAGGATGCCATGAACTCCCAGAGTACCTCGTCCAAGAAGCAGAATGCCATGCTGGGAGGGTAACTGCTGGAGCAGAGAGCCAGCGAGGCGATGTCCCCTGAGGAGCAGAAGCTGTGGGACAGAGGGGCATTCAGCCGAAAACAAATTGGTGACAATTAGTAAAGATGTTCACTTGTGTGTTTGTAACAGCACTGTGTTAGCTATTGCAGCCCTAGATGCCTGTAAACTATGCATTACTAAGCATCATGGTAAACATATGTCACAAGCATCTGGAGTGCCAAGGCTACCTATAACGGCTATTCAAGGGTGGGAGAGGTTAACGATCTGCTGATCAACTAACATATCCTCTTCACCGCTACAGACAATAAATATCCATTCCTTTAGGACCCATTGGTGGAAGACGCACTGCGAGTCTGACAAACCCTTTTATTATATCTGTCACTTACTATAAAGAGGCTGACGATGATCCTATAGCCGGTGCGATGTCCTGTTAATCAAACACTAATTAAAGAATTAGAAAGAGGAACTGCACTTCAAATACAGTACTGTCAGGATAAAGACAATACAATGTGTTAACCCCTTCTCTGCTTTATACATGTAGGGTTATTTATGATTTATGAAGTGAGAATTACCGGGAATTTCAAGGGTTACTACATCCACCATAACCACTTATTAGAGATGTGATGGTGGCAGGAGTCTGGGTGTTCAGTGTTTCAGCTTGAAACAGTGCACATCCAGAGTAACTAGAACCTTTGTGCCAGGTGGGGGGTTGGTAGTTGCATCCCAGCACACAGTGACATCGGCAGCCCAGAACCCGGTTCCTGATTGCTTAATGCCTAATATTTTATATCTGTCATCAGTGCGCACTGCACGCAGGAGACAGACGTAATGTGATTCTTGTGTGTCCCATTCCTTTCCTCCCACCTCCCTATCTATTTATGCAATTTTTTTTTCATTTGTTTTCTTAACTCCGTGCCTATCCTCTCCCCATGCACTGTGAGCCAGCCAAATGATCCAATCAAATGCTGCGCTAGGAGAAGGGAGGATGGAAAGCAGCGCCAGCAGCTTCGCCCAGCACTGGATATAGATAAGTATAATTTATTTTAAAAATATTTTTAAAGAGATCGAAGGAGGAGGGGGCCCTTAAGAACAATACTTACAACTATATTCACTGTTCAAGAAGCTCTGCGTTGCCCAGGTTAGCCTACAGTAATCAGCAAGGTGCGCCATACTCACTGTATGTTGAGTTCAGAAAGCTCTGCCTTGCCCAGGTCAGCCCTGCAGTAATCAGCAAGGTATGCAGTGCACACTGTATGCTGAGTTCAGAAAGCTCTGCCTTGCCCAGGTTAGCCTACAGTAATCAGCAAAGTATGCAGTGCACACTGTATGCTGAGTTCAGAAAGCTCTGCCTTGCCCAGGTTAGCCTACAGTAATCAGCAAGGTACACCATACTCACTGTATGCGGAGTTCAGAAAGCTCTGCGCTGCCCAGGTTAGCCTACAGTAATCAGCAAGGTGCGCCGTACTCACTGTATGTTGAGTTCAGAAAGCTCCGCTTTGCCCAGGTTAGCCTACAGTAATCAGCAAGGTACACCGTACTCACTGTATGCGGAGTTCAGAAAGCTCTGCCTTGCCCAGGTTAGCCTACAGTAATCAGCAAGGTATGCCATCCTCACTGTATGCGGAGTTCAGAAAGCTCTGCGCTGCCCAGGTTAGCCCTACAGTAATCAGCAAGGTGCGCCGTACTCACTGTATGCGGAGTTCAGAAAGCTCTGCGCTGCCCAGGTTAGCCTACAGTAATCAGCAAGGTACACCGTACTCACTGTATGCGGAGTTCAGAAAGCTCTGCCTTGCCCAGGTTAGCCTACAGTAATCAGCAAGGTATGCCATCCTCACTGTATGCGGAGTTCAGAAAGCTCTGCGCTGCCCAGGTTAGCACTACAGTAATCAGTAAGATGCGCCGTACATACTGTATGCGGAGTTCAGAAAGCTCTGCCTTGCCCAGGTTAGCCCTGCAGTAATCAGCAAGGTATGCAGTGCACACTGTATGCTGAGTTCAGAAAGCTCTGCCTTGCCCAGGTTAGCCTACAGTAATCAGCAAAGTATGCAGTGCACACTGTATGCTGAGTTCAGAAAGCTCTGCCTTGCCCAGGTTAGCCTACAGTAATCAGCAAGGTACACCATACTCACTGTATGCGGAGGTCAGAAAGCTCTGCGCTGCCCAGGTTAGCCTACAGTAATCAGCAAGGTGCGCCGTACTCACTGTATGTTGAGTTCAGAAAGCTCCGCTTTGCCCAGGTTAGCCTACAGTAATCAGCAAGGTGCGCCGTACTCACTGTATGCGGAGTTCAGAAAGCTCTGCCTTACCCAGGTTAGCCTACAGTAATCAGCAAGGTATGCCATCCTCACTGTATGCGGAGTTCAGAAAGCTCTGCGCTGCCCAGGTTAGCCCTACAGTAATCAGTAAGATGCGCCGTACTCACTGTATGCGGAGTTCAGAAAGCTCTGCGCTGCCCAGGTTAGCCTTACAGTAATCAGTAAGGTATGCCATACTCACTGTATGTGGAGCTCAGAAAGCTCTGCGCTGCCCAGGTTAGCCCTACAGTAATCAGCAAGGTGCGCCGTACTCACTGTATGCTGAGTTCACGGAGCTCTGCGGTTCCTCTCTCTGGACGCTGACACAGACTGACAGACAAAGCTCGGAGTTTCCTCTTACTGTCAGACACATTCTTGCTCATGTGGAAATCCATGGAGGCTGAGAGCGGTAGTCCGTCTTGCAGCCGCACCACACAAGCATAGAGGATCATGGGTATTTTCCCACATCGAACTCATGAAGTCTGCATCTGAATATATATAAAGAGAGTCTGGCTCAAATCACAGCAATTTCGAGGACTGATTACAGGTCAAAATGCTATCACTGGAGTTACATTGTGGAGTAACATACTATGAATGGAATGACACATGGCTGGGCACGTCAGGTCACAGTATTTATTATATCGCACTGCATTCTATCACACTGCATTAATAGGAAGTGGAATGTCTCACTGCATTCTATCACACTGTATTTATAGGAAGTGGAATGTCTCACTGCATTCTATCACGCTGTATTTATAGGAAGTGGAATACCCACATAGCATTCTATCACACCGTATTAATAGGTAGTGTGATAAATACAGTGTGGTACACCACTGCATTCTATCACACTGTATTTATAGGAAGTGGAATGCCTCACTGCATTCTATCACACTGTATTTATAGGTAGTGGAATGTCTTACATGAGTCTCCACGCTCGCATCCAGCAGCAGTGGAATGTCTCACTGCATTATATCATACTGTATTTATAGGTAGTGGAATGTCTCACTGCATTCTATCACACTGTATTTATAGGAAGTGGAATGTCTCACTGCATTCTATCATACTGTATTTATAGGTAGTGGAATACCCACACTGCATTCTATCACACTGTATTTATAGGGAGTGTAATGTTTCTCTGCATTCTATCACACTGTATTTATAGGAAGTGGAATGTCTCACTGCATTCTATCACATTGTATTTATAGGAAGTGGAATGTCTCACTGTATTCTATCACACTGTATTTATAGGAAGTGGAATGTCTCACTGCATTCTATCACGCTGTATTTATAGGAAGTGGAATACCCACATAGCATTCTATCACACCGTATTAATAGGTAGTGTGATAAATACAGTGTGGTACACCACTGCATTCTATCACACTGTATTTATAGGAAGTGGAATGCCTCACTGCATTCTATCACACTGTATTTATAGGTAGTGGAATGTCTTACATGAGTCTCCACGCTCGCATCCAGCAGCAGTGGAATGTCTCACTGCATTATATCATACTGTATTTATAGGTAGTGGAATGTCTCACTGCATTCTATCACACTGTATTTATAGGTAGTGGAATGTCTCACTGCATTCTATCACACTGTATTTATAGGAAGTGGAATGTCTCACTGCATTCTATCATACTGTATTTATAGGTAGTGGAATACCCACACTGCATTCTATCACACTGTATTTATAGGGAGTGTAATGTTTCTCTGCATTCTATCACACTGTATTTATAGGAAGTGGAATGTCTCACTGCATTCTATCACATTGTATTTATAGGAAGTGGAATGTCTCACTGCTATCTATCACACTGTATTTATAGGTAGTGGAATGTCTCACTGCATTCTATCACACTGTATTTATAGGAAGTTGAATGTCTCACTGCATTCTATCGCACTGTATTTATAGGTAGTGGAATACCCACACTGCATTCTATCACACTGTATTTATAGGAAGTGGAATGTCTCACTGCATTCTATCACACTGTATTTATAGGAAGTGGAATGTCTCACTGTATTCTATCACTCTGTATTTATAGGAAGTGGAATGTCTCACTGCATTCTATCACACTGTATTTATAGGAAGTTGAATGTCTCACTGCATTCTATCGCACTGTATTTATAGGTAGTGGAATACCCACACTGCATTCTATCACACTGTATTTATAGGAAGTGGAATGTCTCACTGCATTCTATCACACTGTATTTATAGGAAGTGGAATACCCACACTGCATTCTATCACACTGTATTTATAGGAAGTGGAATGTCTCACTGTATTCTATCACTCTGTATTTATAGGAAGTGGAATGTCTCACTGCATTCTATCACACTGTATTTATAGGAAGTGGAATGTCTCACTGTATTCTATCACTCTGTATTTATAGGAAGTGGAATGTCTCACTGTATTCTATCACACTGTATTTATAGGAAGTGGAATGTCTCACTGTATTCTATCACTCTGTATTTATAGGAAGTGGAATGTCTCACTGCATTCTATCACACTGTATTTATAGGAAGTGGAATGTCTCACTGTATTCTATCACACTGTATTTATAGGAAGTGGAATGTCTCACTGTATTCTATCACAATGTATTTATAGGAAGTGGAATGTCTCACTGTATTCTATCACACTGTATTTATAGGAAGTGGAATGTCTCACTGTATTCTATCACGCTGTATTTATAGGAAGTGGAATGTCTCACTGCATTCTATCACACTGTATTTATAGGAAGTGGAATGTCTCACTGCATTCTATCACGCTGTATTTATAGGAAGTGGAATGTCTCACTGTATCCACTCAGTACCAACATAAGAAGGGATATATTTCACCTGGTGCACCGACGCCGTTGAATGATTCAGATCCTCCTGCTTTGTCTGTAAATTACGCCTTGTCTAGAACCAGTGACTTTCTCCCTGCTCAGCAAGTTTCAGCCTGCGGTCACTGTATGCCAATGAATCTGGAGACAGTTCTTAAATTCACCCAAAAATGTTTGACCTATAAAAAGAGAATGCATCTTGTGTTAACAATTGGTAACGTTAATGAAATAGTGCTTTGGATTAGGAATATTTCATATTAAACAAAGGAGAAAAATTAATCCACTATGGATAAAAACACAAAGTTCTGCATTTAAAAGGGAACTATCACTCTACTATCACACCACTCAATAAAACATTGAAAAATGAACTATAACGTGTGTGAATCTTGTTTTTTCATGTGATGCTTCATTTACTTTTTATAATATATTTAATATTCAGCAAATGACATCATAATTCAGTTCAGTCCTGGCATGGCAAGGCACATAATATATTGTTTCTGTTAGATTGACAGGGAGCTAAGATGACGTCTTGATAACCCGTCAGATCAATATTAATGATTAGCATCACCTAACAGAAACTCTGTATTTGATTTTAGTAAATAGAGAGTGGAATAAAATTCAGAGTAGTGTTTGGGGAGTCAATAACTTTTTCTATTAATGAACCAATTTCAATGATATTACAATGAATGCTTAACTTTTGGGGATTAGTTTGACTATGTACAGAAGATGATATCTTTTATATGAGATCCATTTACAAAGTCAGCACCAGATGGTATATTTGGTATGGTGTAATTGGCGCTAATGAATTATCCGTAGCTTGTTGACTATCAATTCCTCTTATGGAAAATTGTTCACTTTCCTTAGTTAGTCCTTTAGCTTTCATTTTACAATAGACACATTCTGTATTACAAACTAGTGATGAGTTATGTTGGGATTTATTTAATATTTTGTTCAGTCTTAAAGTTATTCATAAAATGTAAGTAAGACAAAATGACAAAAATGGTTATTCAGAAAAGAACAAATTTGGACAGATTCAAAGTGAATTTCACATTCTAGGCCAAAATCATTTAACTAGAAAAAAAATAGTCCAATTTAGCAATGCTTTCAATTCAGCTATATTGACCTAAAATTTGAAATTCATTCCTGACATTTCACACTTTAGGGAATACATTTATAGTATGGCCAGCATACAAACTGGTAAACTCTCCCGCTGATATCAATCAATCCCTGACCTCATCTGCAGTTTCTTGCGACACAATTTTAAGCCAGTCAACAAAAATGGCCATCAGCATCTCATAGAGACAGGCATCATTCTGGGAAGATGAGAACACAAGGGTCACATGGACCGTGATGTAACTCACAGCCCATGCGGCTGCCAAAATTTGAAGCCAGAAGATTTGGGCGCAGATGGTGACAGTTCTGGCAGTAATTTACGGAAAATTTAATCTAAAAGCTTCCTTTTGTTTACCAATGTAAACTCTCCTCAGACATGCTTCCCTTGTGTATATTTGCAAAGAAAATGCTAAATACACATCAATGAGAAACCCACTGTTAATCTGCCAAAGCTATGCTGGCCCTCTTGCATTACATCAGACTGGGCAGGAAATGTTTTATCATTTGAAATAAGTGGGTGCAGGTTATTCAAGTTTCTAACAGTAGAATAAGAAAGCGCTAATCAAGTGCAGATAAAATATAAAAAGCTGAGTAACTAATAAAAAATATTCATTGGCAGCAATACATTTAGCAGTTAAACCAGGAAAAACGCCTCACTCCAGTTAAAACATCCACATTGGAATTGCCTCAGTAAAATAGTTTTAATAAAATTCAGACAAATACAGAGGATACAGTTACTCACTCCTACAAAGTGTCTGATTCCGGTACTAGTGGGCTGTGCTTTGTCTTGACAAAGCACTATTAGTTGGGTGAAACGCGTTGGTAAATGTTGGGTCCAGTATGCCGGACTTAAACAGCTGGCAGGATAATTCTTCTGCGCCTCTCCAGTCATTCGGTTCTTCATCCGGGTTAGAAATCTGAGGTTGATGCGAGGGACACAGCATCCAGACAGGTTATCACTGCTACATACATTGTATGTTTTGTGAGCTGTGCCACCAGCTCGCTCTGTTACATGTAAAGGCATTAATTTGTCACTCTGTATATATACGTATAATAAAACATATAATACTATGGAAGAAGGAAATCCTGGATAATATGACTGTTTCGTGGATATCGCGGGTCTGGGAGACAATCTATCAAACTGACAGACATTCATTCTGTGCAAAATGTGCAGTGTTTACAGCAAAAAGCCTGAAGGGAATGATTATGCTCACCAGAACAAATACAATAAGCTGTAGTTGTTCCGGTGACTATAGTGTCCCTTTAAGCAGTTCTCAGAGCTCTTTGCATACAGTTTGCACAGAATTAATATTCACAAAACAAAACAATTCTCCATTATCAATGGTGCTGTAGAGGGAACAGGCTACGGCGCTGGTAAATGTTCTCCTTTTCTCAGACTGATTCCAAACAATTAGACAACAAATGTGGGTTAGAGCCTAAAGTCTATTTGCAACATAAACATGACATTGATTTGTTGTGCTTTTAGTATTTAGAGCTCTCATTTAATAAAGTCCTATTAATATATTATTATATATTATTTATTAGAACTGTGTTTATTCTGATTCACTGAACATCCAGACCAGTTTAAATGTATCTCTAGAAATTGACAGACAAAGGATTCCAAACTATTACAGTATAATAAAAACGTGTATTATTCTGTCTCTTACCAAACGTGCAAAAACATTGGTTTTCTTAAAACGATACCAAATTCAGGAGCTTCTCAGGATGTAACTTGTGGCAACCAATTTGTGAAAAGTGCAAGATCATAATCCTCAACGCTTCAATGTTTCATCATAAAATCTCTTCTGGAACGAAAAGGATGGTAATAATTACAACAAAATAGACATAATCTATTAAAGAAAACTAAGAAAGGTTTCAAAGATTAAGGGTAAAAAAAAAAAAAGACACTAATTTATCAAATTTGGCACACAAAAAATCCCCCCAAAACAATTTTACCTGTAGTCATACATTATAATTAACAAGAGAACTTCTGTAATTAATGACTACCTTCCAATAAGTATTAGATTGATGTTACAAATCCTATCAGCACTGTTATGAACTGTTTGATTATATCTGTGTGTCAAAGGTTTAAAGAGTGGAAGATGCAAGTGGACTTTGCTAATGTGATGTGTACTCTGAGAAAACAGATCTTACTACCTCCTAGTCTCACCTCCAAGTCACTAAAACGAGTGGGCGTAAGGTATTTAGTGAAGTCTTTTAGAGGGAATAAAACTGATCCACCATTTCGGGCAAATAAATGCAACTTTTATTCAATTTGTAATATAGGTATCCCAATTCATCACTATTTTAGGCTGTCAGTTCTAAGCTTACCAGGAACATTATGGGAATTGAAGTCCATAACTTTTTGTGTGCTGAATGACATCACTCATTCAGGGACGTTTCTAAAATAATGTATATCACTTTGCTTTTATTGTACATTTGACTGATTACAGTCCCGAAGCATGCATTTATTAAATGAAAGAAGATATGTGGTCGCCTTGGTAACAACACAAAGTATCCCTGATAAAAGATGAATTATAACAGATTAGTTGTGTTACCCCAGCGTTTCCCAATCAGTGTGCTACAGAACCCCTGGGTTCTGCGAGAACACAAATGGGGTTTCACCGCAATTTCGGGGGAAAAAATGGCCACCACTGATAATTGAGATGGGCGGCGAGGGAGCACTCTCCCCTGCTCAGCTCCCTCACTCGCACCGCAGTGATGCCAGAGCCGGAATATCACGTCGGCATCACAAAGAGGCGCGTGAGGGAGCTGAACAGGAAGATCACTGCTCCCTCGCCGCCCGCACTGTACGCTCGCATACCAGCCGCTCAGCCCAGCAGCCCCACTGGACCCCAGGGACCGAATGCCCAAACGCTCAGCAGCCACACTGGACCCCAGGGACTGCATGCCAGCCGCTCAGCCCAGCAGCCCAACTGGATCCCAGGGACCGCACGCTAACCACTCAGCCCAGCAGCCGCAATGGACCCCAGGGACCGTATGCCCAGATACTCAGCAGCCCCACTGGACCCCTGGGACCGTATGCCCAAAAGCTCAGCAGCCACACTGGACCCCAGGGACTGCATGCCAGCCGCTCAGCCCAGCAGCCCAACTGGATCCCAAGGACCGCACACCAACCGCTCAGCCCAGCTGCCCCACTGGACCCCAGGGACCGTATGCCTAGATGCTCAGCAGCCCCACTGGACCCCAGGGACCGTATGCTCAGACGCTCAGCATCCCCACTGGACCCCAGGGACTGCATGCCAGCTGCTCAGCCCAGCAGCCCCACTGGACCGCAGGGACTACACGCCAGACGCTCAGCCCAGCAGCCCCACTGGACCCCAGGGAAATAGAGACTCCATGCCAGCACTCCCAAAGGTAGAGAGGCTGGGTGGAGTGAAATTTTTAAAAAATAATAATAATTGTCTGTGTTTGTGTGTGTGTGTCTGTTAAGGAGTTTGTATGTGTTTGTCAGTGAGTGTGTGTGTATGTGTGTTTGTCAGTGAGTGTGTATGTGTGCTTGTCAGTGAGAGCGTATGTGTGCTTGACAGTGAGAGTGCATGTGTGCTTGTCAGTGGGTGTGTATTTGACAGTGAGAGTGTATGTGTGTTTGTCAGTGAGTTTGTGTATGTGTGTTTGTCAATCAGTGTGTGTGTATGTGTGTTTGTGCCGCGCAGCACTGTTGAGAGAAGCGCCAACGCTGCTCAGAAAAGAACAATTGAGGGAGCGCCAGGAGTGCACATAGCTCAATTTGTATTGAGCCGCCCGGCGCTGTATCGCCGCGCCCGCCGAAGCTGTATTAGGGCATATGCCGTGCATATCCTGGCACCTCCCGGAAGGAGTTGCATTTCCCACCAGATGAACAGGGAGCTGGATTTCGTCTCTTTGGCCAAGATAAGTTTCATGGAGGGGTAAGAAAAACTCAGTCCCCCACCCCCACTACTGTTGCTACCCCCACTACAGGTCCTAAGCCCCAATACTGCCACTAACCCCCACTACAGCTCCTGACCCCCCACTTCAGGTCCAAACTACCCAATGCTGCCACTGATCCCCCACTACAGATCCTAACTACCCAATGCTGACGCTAACCCCCCACTAGGCCCCTGTCCCCCCTACTACAGGTCCTAACCCCCAACTACAGGTCCTAACCACCACACTACTGCCCCTAACCTACCACTTAAACCCCTCCCCCCCCCAACTACAGCCCCTATCTCTGACTGATGCCTTTCAACCCTCACTTCAGCGCATATACGCTCCCACCCCCCCGCTATATTGGGCTGACGGGGAGCTAACTTGAATCTCTCTTCACATCTTGTACTAAATTTCACTACTTCCCACATACATTTTCCATACATCGCCGCACATAACACTCATAGCGGACCAAACTCACAGCTACTCACACTGCTACAAATACCACTCACAGCTACTCACAGGCAGACACTCACAGCTACTCACACTGCTACAAATACCACTCACAGCTACTCACACTGCTACAAATACCACACACAGATACCCACAAGCAGACACTCACAGCTACTCACACTGCTACAAATACCACTCACAGCTACCCACAAGCAGACACTCACAGCTACTCACACTGCTAAAAATACCACTCACAGCTACCCATAAGCAGAAACTCACAGCTACTCACACTGCTACAAATACCACTCACAGCTACTCACATGCAGACACTCACAGCTACCCACGCGCAGACACTCACAGTTACCCACACGCAGACACTCACAGCTATACACACATTACACAGCCTCATACAACACGCAAAGAAAGCCACAACATACACTTCACACATAGATACAACACGTTCAGCAACCCTGCACAAGATACACACCCACACCACACATCCACCCAACATTGTATTAAATGTTCACTTACCTAGCAATAACAAAATAACACAAGGAAAGAATTTCCTGGTGCACACCCTAAAAAGATGGGCTGCGCATGTGTATGCGCACATGTGGCGGCTTTACTGGAGTCTGGGCAAATGAGCTGCCCGGCAAAACCAGCAAACAGCCTTAATACTGGCCAGTGGTCCAGACTGCTGTAGAATCAGTCCCTCAGGGATGGGATGTACGTGATGTCATGACATGTCCGAATCATGTGGGTAGGACATTGTGATGTCACTACATGGGGGGAGGGAGTGGGATCGGCAAATAATTTGTTTGCCTAGGGCGGCAAAAATCCTTGTACCGGCCCTGACTATCTGCACTAGGGCGCCAAGAAATTTGGGTGGTTCCACGTTGTTAGCACATTATGTCAAAGGGTTCCACTGGAAAAATTAATTGGGAACCCCTGTGTTACCCAATACTTGGCACACAGTGCAGAAAAAGAAAAGAAAAAAAATAATAATAATTAAGAATTTGTTTCATTTCACTTCAGTGGACTGCAACTCCCATCACCTCCACCCGTTTTAATACCAGCAGTCATTTCACAAATAGCCCCCCCCCCCATCCATACCCTCAGATAGACAGAAACAAGAAGCCTTTCCAGGACTTCTCCCCCAGTGCATGGAGTCTGATTCTTTCTGTTTGTAAATGACAGGAAATGATGTGATTCCTCTCCTGACTGTCCCTTAATCAGCTCCCTCCCTGCAGGCTGATACCCCACAGATAAACACAGCCATATGTTACTATGTCTACAGAGTGTATCAGCTCTCTGATTAAAAAAGGAGATCCCCATCTGTTGTAGGACTGCATCTCCCATGATGCTTTGCCAGCCTTTGAGGTTGGCATGGCATGAAGGGGGTTGTAGTTCTCCAGCAGCTGGGGATACAGTGTATACCTGGTCAGCCAGTGTGAGCTGCTCTCCCAGCATGCATTGTATCAGATGATTGATACACTGTCTCACAGCACAGACAGATTCAGTGAGGTCCTAGGTCCTGAGGCTGAGCTGGTGATGGCCCTGATGGACAGCTTCTCCCTGCCTGGATCCCAGCACAATGCAGGCCTGGCACTCTGAGCATGCTCAGCTCCCAACACTGCTCTTAAAGCGGCAGTGACAGCCAGTGTAGTCTTCAAAGGGCAACACTGCTTGCAGCTGGATGCCATGTGGCTGAGGATTGGAGCTTAGTCCAAAGCTGAGGGAACAATATATTATTATAGGAATGTTAGTACACAAATAGCATGTATTTCATCATCTGTACTATAATGGGGGGGGAAAGAAGACAGCAATATACATTTTACTCATTGCAGCCAGGGGTTATTAGTTTTTTAGTTGCCCTCGATATCTTTTTTTAAGGAATAATGGCATCTATATATTTCTGGTTGTGTTAAAATAAATGTGATTGATTACAGCTCCGAAACATGCATTTATTAAATGAAATAAGCTTGGTGGTTGCCTTGGTAACAGCACATAGCATCCCTGATAAATGATGTACCTATATCCCTTATAAAAAGAAACAGTCATTACAAAATTAATTCAGGATTATTCACTAAAGTGAGAATTCAAAGTGAAATGCAAATTTTAGATCAAAATAGCCGAGCTGGAAATATTCTGTAGATCAGCTATGAATTCAGTTTGGCTTAAACTTTACATTCACTTGAAATCTCCATTTATTACATAACCCTGAAAGTTAATTTCAAGCATTACCAATTACCAGCATCTCCTGGCCAACATATAAGATCTTGAATAAAAACCAGCACACTAAAAATGGAAGTAATAAATAGCGCTATAACAAGATATATTACAAACTGGTAGATTCGACCCAGCCATTTATAGCACAGATATCTTAATTAAACGTTATTGTTCATTTATAGTGACCATATTGCAGACACTCACACGCCTTGTCAGACCAGCAGAATTATGTACTAAAATGTAAATTCTGTGTGATTTCAATGTGAATTTAAAGTAAATTTTAAATTAAATACCAGAGGATCGAAACTGGAAGCATGGTTTAATTAAAATACATTGTAGTTTACAGATCTCACATACAGCAGGTGACACAGCGCGTGATAAAATAAATAGATACTTTATACCCGATATTATAACCATAAAAGTGTGATATATTGTACACAGTGCAAGGTTAATGACAAAAGATATTATGCTCCTCGCCTCCTAAAGTATGTCCGGTAATGATGTGAAGGCATAATGCAGACAGCTATCAGCACAGCAAAACTGTCCCTAGCTCACACAATAAAGAAAAAACAATTATTTCAGCATTTTATAAATCTTCAAAGCATTACATATTAAACGGAGCAGTGCAGGCTAGAGATGACCTGTCTTTTATATTTATTTGTCTGCTATTGTATAAGTATTATTTACACAATGCATTGAAAAGAAAGATGCAAAAACAGTAAAAAAATTTTAAAATTACATGTTCCGTTCAGTGTTTCAATAACATGGCCAAGGTGTCTGAGGATTGCACAGTTCTTACTTTCTACTACAGAATCGTACCGGAGTATTGATGGAGCAAAGAGGTAAATATTGCATAATAGGAGCGAGAAAGAAAATTTTCAGAATTATTGTAATTATATATTTTAAGCTAATCCGTGCATTACATCTAACGTGTGGGAGGCTGGAGTGTCCCTTTAATAATATAAACCCACCCAGTATAACTAACTGTAACCTAACCTACACAGTACATCTAACGTGTGTGGGAGCCTGGGGTGTCCCTTTAATAATATAAACCCACCCAGTATAACTAACTGTAACCTAACCTACACAGTGCACCTAACGTGTGTGGGAGCCTGGAGTGTCCTTTAATAATA